CCTCCGGTATAACCTCCTCCAGTGTACCCTCCGCCGCTGTGTCCGCCACCAGTGTATCCAGTGCCTCCAGTGAGGGGTCTCCAGCCTCTACTTGGGCCAGACATGCCACTGGTACCGCTCATGCGGCTGCAAGAGTTGCCACCACAAAAGGGCAGTGACCCGTTGCTGCCATGATACTCGCTGTAAGTGGCGACGTATCCGACGGCTTCAACTTGGCCGCAATCGGGACAACGAACTTCTTTACGGTAAATGGCCATTATGGAAGCGTTGTCGGGGTGTTTATCTTTCCCAGTCAGTTAGGAACTACTTCGTACAACGCATATTGCTTGGGACAGTGACGAGAAACACTTACTGCAAGAGGTGGATTTTGGGAATCAAAGTGCAGCGTAAAAGAAGCGCTTTGCGATCTCTAAAGGCTCGATTGCTTGCCATTCAGTAGGTACTTAGGAGAGTGGCGTTTCTTATATACCTCACCCCTTCGTGAGAATCTGCCTTGACCATTGAAGAGGCTTCACCATCTGATCTGTCCTGCTGCCAGCTGACGCATCTCTCCTTTGCCTCAGTTTGCTCAGGTCTCCTTTGCGGCTTCGTTACTCCCTACACAACGAGCTTTCTACAGCAGGCGTCTTTGGCGCTTGAACCTGTGGTCACCTTGCTGTTCTACGATACTATTGCGCAAGGTCATTGCTTTTCTTCAAGGACGACAACTCAATCTTGCGGCCTGCCTTGGAGTGACCATGTTGTGACCGTGTGCCTCGCTGTGCTTCGCTGTGAAAGGTTAAGCATATCGCGAACCTTGATGCGCGGACGCACGCTCTTTGTTTTGTCGTGCGCATCATTCGAGAGGTACGGGGTACATGGGCAAAGAGTACGAAGCAATGCGCTTGAACTACCTGTCTCGCATGACGTTTGCTTTGATACGGAGCCAGCTGCGGTGCGCATGTCTTTTCAAAGTCCTCATATGCTGACCTATTGCGCCGGTCATGAGCCCCTGTCATAAGAGACAGTGGAGCTTTCAGGGGGTATAACCCATTCTTGAGAGGTAGAAGTCCAGGATTGGACGAGGCCTTTGGAGGTGTACCCCGTCCCAAACTCAGCTTGTCCCTTACGAGTGCCATGGCAAAGCCAAATTGCCAAACTTTATTGTCGCTAAGGCTACTGCGTGCCGAGGGCTAATAAAATGGGCTGACCTATCACTGCAGCTCATGGTGATGCGCCAGAAGGCGCTTACAGTGGTTGGCATCACGATTATCACGATGTTGTCCATGTTGCATCAATGTCTCGTCACATCTACGACTGGAGTTTACAGCAACAGGGAAGCTTCACTAGGCGCACAGCCTATATGAATTTGATAAAGACATCGGAACTTATTGCATTGGCAGCTCTGAAGCTGAGTGTGTGCTTGTGACTAACTTCTCGGCACGCATGTCATCGATATGCAAAAGACAAGAAGAGGTGCAGCCGGTCAATGGCTTAGCAGCACCTAGCTTGAAGGAAAGCTCATTCAGTAAAGGCTGTCGCCGGTACGCTTTGTGCTTCCGCCCTTCTTCGAGCTTCCTCCCATTGAGGTACCTCCACCCCATTTGGAGAAGCCACTGGGTGTATACCCCTTGCTACTACCCCCAGTGTATCCCTTGCTACCGGAATAACCAGGGGGTGGCATCGACCCGCCCATCGAGCCACCGACATAACCACCTGAGCCACCAGTATAGCCTTTGGAGCCTCCAGTATAGCGGGCTGAGCTGCCACCGCCGCCTTTGGCTGCATTACCCGTCCCGAAAATGTTGTCGACCACATTCTTCGCCAGGTCACCGGGAGTTGCCTTCCCATCTTCAATCTTATGGGCGATGTCGACGGCTTGCGTGACGGGTCCTGGATCGCCTTTGCTGCTGCCAGTCATGCCGCGGGAAGACCCGCCATAGTAGGAGGCGCCGGTTCGACGGGACGAGCCACCATAACGTCCGCTTCCGCTTGACATTTTTGTTGTGATAGGATAATTGAGTCTTTTTTCTGTCGCATGTGTTGTCAGTCTTTAGACTTTAGGGGAAAGGGGCAAGGCTTCTGCTCTTACCTTGATGCTTTGGGGGTCTTGTTCAGTAGACAATTCTTGAACTGAGCTGGGCTTGAGCGACTGTGGTACTTTTGGTCTATATTCAATGGCAGCAGGCAGGACCTGAGCCATTTTATAAAAAGTTCCAGGAGGTGTTCATCTATATCCCTGCTCATGGTATATGAGCTCACAGGGCTTTCCGCAACCTAACTTTGCTTGACGATGGACGGTTACACTTTTAAACCATAGTGTCACACTGGTGAAAGAACTTTACAGACGACAGCCGTTCCCGAACGAGTTTAAGACCAAGATTCAAACATCCTTGGAATTGGCCAGGCAAGCTAGCAACGTGCACCGCCTGCACGGTCATGCATCGATTATTTGTCCTTCAACGGCGTACGGAGTACAGCTACAGCACGGACCTGGAAAAATGAACGAAGTAAACACACGGCATGACATAACGGTCGTTGTTCCTAACGAAATGATGTACAAAGGTTACATGAAGTACCGCTTTACTCTCTAACAAACATGCTAGCCATGCCCATACCGGTCCCGATACACATACTAACGACGCCAACCTCCTGTCCCTGTCTCTGCAACTCTGGCAACAAAGTCGCAAGCTGCCTAGCGCCAGTAGCACCCAAAGGATGTCCGATAGCTATGGCACCACCCTTGGGGTTAACCTTGTCCTCGTCGATCCCAAGTTTGCGAATGCAGTACAACGCCTGACTAGCAAAGGCCTCATTGAGCTCCCAGATGCCGACTTCATGCGTTTGCACACCGGTGTGTGCAAGGAGCTTAGGAATAGCCGCCGCGGGGCCGACGCCCATTTCGTCAGGAGCAACGCCTGCAACTAGTGTGGACACCCACTTCCCGATGATTGAGGAGGTCAGACCAAGCTCTTGTGCGGTTGAGCGGCGCATGAGAAGAGCTGCTGCCGCACCATCGCTGACTTGTGAGGAGTTGCCTGCTGTGCTTGTGCCATCTGCCTTGAAGGCGGGTTTCAGGGAACCAAGTTTCTCAACAGAGACCGTGGGTCGAATTCCGTCGTCCTTTGTGACTTCAACTTCTTTGGTGGTCCCGTCTTCGTTGATCTGTGTCGTCTTGACGGGCACGATCTCTTTGTCGAACAGTCCCTCCGCCTGCGCTTTGGCAGCTTTCCTGTGCGAGTTTGCAGAGAACACGTCCTGGTCCTCACGCTTGATGCCGTATCTTGCTGCAACGTTCTCCGACGTCAGGCCCATGGGCATGATACAGTCTCTTGCATCCTTGTTCTCGCTATCTTTGAGCTCCGGCCACAGGACTGTCGGGATAGCGCGCGACCCATAGTTGCGCGTCATGCTCTCCATGCCACCTCCAACACCGATATCGATCGCACCAACACTGATTTGATGTGCGATGCCAGTGATGGCGGCAAGACCAGAGCTGCATTGGCGGTTCACGGTATGGAAGGGCACAACGGAAGGAAACCCTGCATGGATCTGCGCCATACGACCTGCTTTTGCGCCGCCTAATTCTTGCAGGACAGAGCCGATGGCGACGTCGCCTATAATGGCTGGGGGCAGGTTGGGGTTAGCTTCGAGTGTCGCACGCAGGACATGGCTGAGAAGCTCTTCCGGATAGGCGTCTTTGAAACCCCCCTTCTTGGCGCGAGTGACTGCCGTGCGGAGGGAAGATAGGATCACGACATCGTCTGGGGACTTTTGCAGGATTTGAGATAGGCCTCTTCGGACAGGGGCTGCCATGTTGTCGGTGAGTCAGGACACTTGTCTTTCCCGCTGAACGCTGGTGCGAGCGAGTGTCGAACTTCTTTTATGCTGCAAATCGCGCTATGCGTATCGGCTTTGACTGCTAGTTTATATCCGCGTTGTCCTGCACGTCCTGCACGTTGTAGTATGTAGTTTTATGACCTTCGGTGCCGATACATCAGAAAAAGCCGAAAAGATACATGATGAACATCTGTATCACTGCAGGCATGATAAATAGCAACAGCATTCGTGTTGTTTCTCTTGTATCCTCTGACCAGAACTCTTCCTGGGGTTCTAGCCGGCGTTGCTGCCGCATCGTACTCCGTCTCCGTGATGATTGTATTGTATGATGATCGGCTGTGACTGTATTATTTCGGCTATATTCTCGGTAACGGCCATCTGCTGTCAAAGGTGGATAATGTCGAGTCGCGGGGTGCATAAAACGTCTAGATGGGTTGGCTCGGAACCGTCTAACCCGGCCCGCATGGAAGTCGTATACTATCCAATCCGTACGCTCTCGCATTCTCGCTTTATTATGTCGGTTTGTCTTGAAGGCAGCTTTCTCGCAATGCAGTCGTGTAATTTTTCTAGCAGATAGTAACTTTTCTAGCGATGACACTCTTGACTGTTTGTGCAGTAGTGACTCTTATACGGACAGTCTCGAGCCAAAAAACGACGGCGCTCGCTAAGGGCAAACAAAACCTAAAAAGATAAAAAGATGACTGGGACAGCGCACCCAATGAATGACCAAGCCCGGACTCGAACCGAGGACCTTGTCGGCGTTAGCATTCTAGATGTTAACGACACGTGATAACCAACTACACCACTCGGCCGCGATTTTCTTGGCATACCCTGGTAGTGCTCACGGCCACATCCCAGTCGGTGGCTGAAATTTCCATGTGTTGGCGCAGATGCATTGATCTGAAACGCTCTCTGGGTTTTAAGATGATTGAGGCTGAGAAGTGTGAGTTGAGGGCGTTAAGTGTGGCGTTGAAACATGTTCGTTACGGCAAAACTGTGCAAATTCCCGCCCAATATGTATGCACATAACCGTAATACTCTTTCCAAGGAAGACCAGTGACGCAGTGGTTAGCGTTCCGTTCTTATATGTTTCCTTCGGGATCCATATGACTCTGAGTCCTCAGAT